TTTTTTTTATCAGTTTATTAAACAAATGAAATCTAGGCTTATTGCAATTAATTAATTAATGCGCTATCGGCGTGTCACACGATCAACACTAACGATCGTACACGTGGTGTTGTTCTGTGATTGATAGTTGTTATTTGGAGCCAGTCGATGTGTCTCCGATGATTTATTTAAAATATTTCGTCAATAAATCATCGTTTTAAACTGGCCGTCCGGTTTTCAGAAGGTAATTTTATTGTTCCGGACTTAAGAATTTGGCCGGAATTCGGAATTGGGAGATCCGGTTTTCAGAAAGTATTTTAATACACTAAGAATGGGAATGATGAAACGACCGGTTTTGCGTGAAATCCGGTTTTCTGGGTGGTCGGTATTGGGAGAGTTGACTGTACTATAATACCTTCATGGTCACAATTAAAGTTATCAAAATCAATTTTAGAGTTTAATATTGCATCTGCTATAGAACAGAATATAAAAGAAAACAGTATATTCAAACCAAACTTTATTAACCTCTTCTATGATTACATACCGGTATCCCCAAACAATAAAACTTAACACCATAACACATACCACCATTTTCACAATTAACATTTAAAACACTTGGTACATTAATGTGTACGACACTAATAGTAAAACAAAATAAAACAAAGTAAAGTATTACATAATAAGAATTTCTTTTTCATTTATTTGTTGCGTCCATCATATGATGAGCTGTTCAGTGAGTGGTGGGCATAAAAGTAGGCCCGATTTAAAATCGATAAAGAAAATCTGATTAACTTTTAATGACCACTAATATTTATATATCAATAGGTAAAAAATTAATATCTTGCATTGTTCCTTTTTAAATAAAATTCTAAGAGGTTATTCCATCTAACATTAACATAAATGTTGGTATCATTGTACATGCAGTAACATCGGTTGATCTCGGTTTTCCAAATTGCATCATCAGTGGATTATTAAACTATTAACTAATCAATACTCTTTGAATTACAGTTACACTATAGATTACATAGTTACACCATACCATTTAGATAGTTACACGATATATTCTTAATCAGATTCATTTGTGCCCTTTTAGAATAGTGTTCATGTGCGCAAGTGTAAAGTGTTTACACGTAGACATTGGCCTAATACGGTACCGTATAATCTCGAATTAAAGCCATGGGTTCTTTTTGGCTTTTTTCCCCGAACTTCAGATGAGCTTTTTTTTTAGGGCACTTTTGCAAAGTAACGAGGGGGCTTATTTTCAAAATTAATGATGTAAATTTTGGAAATTAGTACTGTACTATAAAACAATAAATAGGGCCACTGTAACATCAATCTGTATCATGGAGTGAATAAAGTGGCATCAAATCACCTAAACTACTATATAAACTAAGATTGTTTTAAATTTATTTTGTTTCTTTAAAATTCAAGTACAGTGTATGTACTGTACTATCTCTAAAAGAAGCCTATGCTAGGCTTCTTTTCGAGGTTAATTTTGCCAATTTGCTAATTTTTGGTGGGCTTCAATTCTAGATGGGCTTCGCTTCTCGAGATTAAGCCCATTGGGCTTCCATTCAAGGTTTTACAGTTTATTGGTGAGCTATGATACAATCATCTAATCATCTTTGTGATCAGTTGCACTGACTTAACTAAGAATACACTTTTTTTTTAATTTTAAAAGGAAAACTACTACAACGAAGTCAGATAGCCTGAATTAAAGAAAACGGGAGACTTTTACACCTACAGTTAATTAGGATTGACCCAAGAACAAATACTTATAGGTCTAAAACAAACTTTTTTTTTTATCAATTTAGTTTGTTTTGATTTCACTGTCAATCTCAATGCAAAAACATGGAATAAATATTGCCTTGATTCTTTGATTTCTTAGAAACAGTGATGGCCGAAGATGGAGCAACTGGCAATAAATTTATTCATAGGTAGAAACGACACCACATATAATTAGCATATTTTTGTTAAAATATTTTTAGTTTCAGTATGAAGTTAAAAATAGTTTTCATTACTATCAGCTTTATGTCTTTTATTCTCAGTTTTAATCAAAATCGTCATAAAGATTGGAATTACGCACATAATACAAGTTAAAGAATTCGCAGCGAGAAAGTTCCAATTTTCAAGAATTATATCATACATGTAAACGGAAAGGAAAAATGTAAAATCCACAAAAAAAACTATTATTGAAGCCGACAGTGACTCTGACTCTGGATAAGTTCTGTCTCTTATACACATCTTTACGGTACGTTATGTTCTAGAATTATTAACCACTTTTAGGGATTGCATTTTTAACAGTCCAATATTCAGTTGCCCAGTTACAGCAGCGTGCTAACTTAAGCTTTGGGGTTAATTAATGTACCATTTTGAATTATAGGCCTGTCTTGAATTTTAACAATACCAGAATCAATACATGTACGGGAGTATAAAACTCTATTGTCCATCTTGATACGAGGGTTTCCCCAGATATACTCCTTATAGATTTCATTTG